AGTCAAAATCAGAAACAAAAAGTATTCATAGGAGTATTCCATCTACAAACTAAAACGTAATAAAAAAATCCACTGAGAATTGCATATTTTAAATTAATACAAAGTATTTAAGTTTACAAGCACGCAAGTAAGATGATTTTCTTTCGCCTCAACGCTTTGTTCTCACGGACTACGTCCAAACATAATCCTTCTAGTTTCATGCTCTATTTAGACAATATTTCAACTGAGATGATGACGCCGCTATTCTCGCGATAAAACAGCGATACTTCACTGTTGGTACCTGGTACTCGTACTGGTAAATATGATGTTATGCCCAGAAAACTTTGACCTTCAATATAGAACTGTTTAGAATTAAACTGAGCACGTATAAATAATCATTCTCTAGTTTATATCAGATAATATCTAGCAGAAAATTGCTTAATTTCTGGGTCATCAAAACACTAGCATTGCCAATCCATGCTGTGTAAATACTGTTTGCACTTGTTTTCTAAAATTAACCTAATTTCTATTCCGGTACAATTTGACAAAAAAAAAAGAAATATATAAAATATTAGGATAAAAATAGGTAATTAGTTAACGACAATTTATGAATTATCAAAACAATATATTTAATATTATTTCTGCATCGCAAACAATTCATTACTTAAGGAACACTTCACCCGCAATTTATTACTAAAATTCACATTTAGTCATGAAACAATTTTTAAGATGCCGAACATCTGAGAATTGCAGTAGAAATTTAAGGTGTGTAAATATTCATCGCCTCTATTCCGTTTAGTATTATACAAGCTTAATTTAATTAAAACAGATTCATATCGAATTACGCAGCTGAAAGCAAAGTTTTAGAAATTAAAAAAAGATAAAACTACTAAAGATTTCTGCTGGTCTAAACGGAAGGAGCGGTGACATAGACTCTAAGTTTATAATTAAATCTTGCAGAAGCAACCCACAACTCGTTCGCATCGAAGACCAAATTTAATTAAGGCACAAGTTCTTGGGCTTTGTTTCATCTTAGAAACTGTTTCAGGTTAAATAAGTTATTGAATTTCCACAAAAGGAAAGGTACAATGGGCAAATGCAAACTTATATTAATTTTGCTTTATATCCGGATGTTCATTTTAATAAGAGAGAAGAAGATTTAATGAATTGATACTGCTGACATTCCAATCAATTTAGTTCACATGGAAGGAGAAGTATTATATAATTATATTTTATTATTATTCTTTCTTTATTTTTTCATTAAGATGAACTGGTTTCTATTTATTGCCTTATGTATGTAAAATGCTGTATATTGAATTTTATGGAAAACTGCCAAAATCAAAACATGGAATAAGTACTAATAACGGAATACTAAAAAAAGGAAAAATAAATATTTTTTAATAAAATTATTAAATTAATGCAAAAGCAGATGAAAAGAATTCGAGATTTTGTCTCGAAGATCTTCAACTAAAAATGCTTCTTATCGTAATTTTTTAAATTCTGTTTTACTATTAGAGACATAGAAGCATATAGCTAGAGTAGTATTATGTCACAGTATGATATACGGTTGTTTAATACCCAAAGAAGGCAAAAAAAAAATTACCAGAAAGTGTATGCTACGTGAAAGTTCAACTATAACTTTTTAATTCAGCAGAAACTTAAATTAAATATCAGTGCAGTTTGATAAAAAAATGTTCCGTTCCTGTTATACGAGATAATGTTTTTTCAGGTTACTGAAACTTATTTGGGCGTTTACTCTTGCGGTCAGGAAATGAAAATATTAGTTTTTAGCTGAAAGGAGTGTTAGCTCAGAAGTGCTATTAATTTCGTTTTGGCGTTATGCGTCGATTCACTTTCTGCGTTAGGTTAGGTTAGGTTATTTAATTATGCCAAAGTCTCGAGGGCTATCTGCCTAAGGGGAGGGCTGCCTTCGTGGAGGACATTTTAAGGCAAACTGGCTCGTGTACACGTTACACATGGGGAAAACTTCGAAAACATCCATCAGTCGGCAACCTCCGCTTTCTGCATTAATTCACTTTTCAAACTATTCCCACTAAATGCTACAGCCCTGTATTAAAGGCATTAAATAAGAAAGAATCGGCATAAATGTATGCATGTTTCTCGCACTGTGATAAAACAACAGTACCTAGAGCCATCAAATTTTGAATAACGTAATCCTCCACCGAATATGGGCGTTTGGAAGCCCTAATTTGGAACTCTGAATTTGTTTATTATCTATTTCATATTTTGTCAGACATTAAAGAATTTTTCATTAACAAACAGAACGATTTCAAAGAGAGGAATGGCAACAGTCTACGGGGGAAAAATTATCTCCAGCGCGCGAGGTTGTGTGTCGGAAATTATGAAGATATGCTCATTTTAAAATTATTTTTCGATATTACTGTTAAATTGATTTTTACGGGTTAAGTGCGAGGAACATGATATTTAACAGATAAAGGTAACACACAAAACGTTAAAAATACCCTTTTCGGGGTAATGTAAAATCTGAAAGCTTTCAGATTTAAAAAAAAAAAAAAAAATTCACAAACAAAAACAATATTTTTTTTGTAGGAAATACCATCACCTGTGTTAATATGTTACGTTATTTGATTACAGGTTATTAACGTTTTCTGCAAAACTAATTATGTATTTACATATATCAAAATCTTATAAGGTATTTTCTGCCTCCTTTCCGCACGTAACTGGAAGCATACGCGACTATTCGGGAGGTCCAGAATTCGACATTGCTCATTTTTCACGTCTCCAGCATCAAAACCTATAGTGATTCTGCAGTGGTGCTCGAACTGAAAGGTGATGGACAATAGTTCGTCACCGCCACGATCTCAACCCTAGTCGCTTTTTCAAAGAAGAGTGTATAAGTTTTTTTTTTTTTCCCTCTCCCTCCTTTCTGCATGCTTTCTTGGTGTAACTGGAAGTACAGTGGACGCGTATTAGGAGATCTGGAGTTCGAATACCGGCAAAGGCAGTGCATATTTTTCGCGCCTCCAGCATCTAAAACCGTTTTAACTCTACAGTCTTCTAAAACACAATAGCAGATATATTTACCTTAAATTAGAAAAGAAAACTGGATATGAAAATACAAAAAGATTTAATGCTTAATTTCAATTACTTCGTAATATACACTGTCGCCTATTAACAAAAAATGTAATGATAAATAAATAAATAAATGAAAGCTTTCAGATTTTATATTACGCCCAAAATGGTATTTTTTTCAGTTCTGTTTTAGATACATATGCGTTTCAAGCTCTTTCGGATAAGTTGATGTCCAAAACTGTTTTAGATACATATACGTTTCAAGATCATTTGGGCTAACGCCACACTTGGCTAAAAATATTTAAACGCAGCATATCTTGAGAATTTTCTATAGACAGTCTCATACGCTGGCGATAGCAATATTTTATCGCTTACTGTGTTGTCACTGTTTGCTTTGAAACTGATGAGAGTTTTAGAAAACATGAAAGAGACAATAGCATAGTTACAAATTCGGGCTTCCAAGTACCCATGCTCGGGTGGAGGACTATGTTATTAAAAATTTCATAACTTGAGGTACCGTCGTTTTTTCACAGTTCGACGAACATAGATACATTCGTGTAGATTCTTTATTATTTAGGTTCTTACATGTAAGAGGAACTGCAGGACTGCACGATATCGATATCAACACACACACACACAGGACTCTCCGAGAATTTAAATTCTTGCATTAAAAGAAGGAGACTTGTTTCTGCAAGTTTGTTGATCAACAACCTTACTTAAAGTATCAGAGCCCGTTGCTAGGGCATGTAAAGATATGTTAGGTGGTCATATTCTGCATGAAAGTATGACGTCTCATGTTCCGGCTGATTTACATGTACATATAGCAAAAATTTTATTCATTTTTTATTCTTTTAGTTTACTGTTGGCTTTTATATATTTTTGGACATTTTTATATAAAACTCAATTGCAATAAAGGAATTTCATTTTTATATATCACGTGCTTGGATTTGCAACCATAGTTTTGAGCACAATTATATATACATATTAAAAAAGTGGAAAGGAAATTTATTTTTACGACTTAAAAATAATCTTAATGCTAAGAGGTACTACATCCAAAATTACCGTTAATATTAAAAATAAGTAAAAGCTTAGGAAAAAATTAATTAGAGAGTGCTTGATAAATTCAAGAGTTACCAAATCTCTTGAAGATATGTCGAACTTCAAAGAAGCAAAAGAAGACTGTAACACCGAAGTAAACTGTAGCATTTTTGTTTTGTTTCTCAAAAGATTCAGCAATTATTCAGTACATACTCAAATTTTTTCTCATAAATTTAAGCTTTTAAAGTAACAATACTCAATAATAAAAAAAACTACATAGGTCATCAAATTCTGAAAATGAAAATTATTGCTTAATGTGTAGATAAATAGCTATACGATGGTATCTAGTTATAATAGTTTCGTTTATTATGCAGCTGGCCCACCAGTAGCAGAGCGGTAAAGTCACTTAACAGTGGTTGTTTGATCCGGAGTTGAGTCTGAACGAAAAGCGACTACATAGAAAAGCTGGCTAAATAAAAATTTTCATGTTTTTTTTTTTTTTTTTTTTTTTTTTTTTTTTTTTTTTTTTTTTTTTTTTAATATAATAACCTGTACACTAGCCGGTTTCGTTCGGATAGTCCTCCACCAAAGCATCCCTCCCTTTAAGCAGATAGCGATCGAGTGCTTTCCCATAATGCATGTGAAAATATTTTCAGAACGGTTTTTATAACATAACACCTCTATAAGGGGTGCAGTTGTTTTCAGAGTCATAGTTAGAAGGTAATTAGTTCCTGATTTTTCTAAATCTTCCCAAAGGAGAAGAATTTTCCATGTAACGCCTACTATTCTTATCATAAATATTCTTCTTAGAAATGTACTATTACAAATCTGTAAACAAGAGAGAAAATTTGTAATTTGAAATTCATTGAAATAATATGTAGGAACTGTGACTTTAAATATAAAAATTAATTTGACTTTTATTATTTTAGATACAAATAAATCCCACCATTTACAAAGCATAACTGAAGAAGGACTCGCCTGTGATATTGATGGCTTTCTACTGCATGAGAAATTATCCATGGGAAATATGTGGACTCCAAATCACAGGTGAAAATTAGCTTAAAATAATGAATATTAGAATAATTCTAGACTATGCAATCTAAAAATCAAATCATCTTTTTTCGATCTTGCATTAATTGTTAGGTTACAATATAATTTTATAATGAATTAGTGATTATGGTCTATCCTACTATTATAGAACAATTCTATAGAAATATTTTTAAAAAATATTTTGAGTTTAATAATGTGTAAAATGTGTTTTATTCGTAAGGTTAACAACAAATATTTTTATAGCTTGACAGTATATTTATATACAATATTTTAAAGCTTAATTATTCAACATAAACACTTTGTATAAGGCATACATTCACTATTTTTTCTGAGTAAACTGGGGAAAAATATTTCTTAATTTGTATAAAAGTCGTACCTTAGAGATATTTAATTCATGGAACAAATAATGAAATTTGTACCCAGCTTCTAGATTCACTTTTATGAATTTAAAATGTTATTAGTCCTTTACGAATTCACTTCAAATTTTATAATTTAATAAAGATACACCTCTAAATTAAATCGAGTTAAATATAATAATATTTATGCGCAAATATTTAAAGATATGTATTTCGCTTGTGTTGCATTCAACTTAAATAACTAGCTCCAATGAAAACAAATTTAACGCTCTTCCAGCGATGTGTTCAAATTGTAAATTTCATTATGAAATATATCGTAGCATTACATTTCAGTAAAATTGAAGAATTTTTCAAATATACATTTATTCCAATATTGTTACCTTTCGAAAGGTTAAATTTTAGCAAACTTCATTCATCTCTCTATTAATTTCAGTAAGATTCTTCACTTTAAAGATAATGTAATTAAATGCCCATCTAGAGAACTTCAACAGCAGCTTACAAATTACAGTATTCATCTAAATGTGAATTCTTGAAAAGCCTTGAGTTTTTCTTGTATAATGAATTATAAACTTGTGTATCGATTCCAAGTAAAGAATAATAGTGTTAAAAGCACTAAAACAATTAGTTATCTCAGTGATACAGGCTTTTCAGCAACCGTTGCAGAAATCCTTAAACCAAAGTTCTAACGAAGTTAGCAGAAATTTTGTATTTCTCTATATTTTGGCTTGCGGGGGAAGACCTTATTTCTAACATAATCTCCGGCATTTTTTTCCCATCAAACGCTGAAGTTGATAAGTTGCACTCTTGATTTTAGATATTCATTCCAATTTACAAGATTATCTGTAGCAACGAAAAAAATAATAATAAATAAGTAAATAAGATAAAGCAAATAAATTAAAGATAGGATTTTGTTACGAATTATCAGTTGTTAATCCCTTTTAAAGCAATAACTTTATTTCATGTCAATTAATAAATAGGCACATTGCGGGAGGAAAAAAAAAAAAAAAAAAAGGACACAGTTCTCTTCCATTCTACTGGACCGATTGATTGGAGAAATTCAACTCTCGCTACTCATGTCTCGAAAGCGCGACTTAAGATATGTATTAGATTTACATATACATTGTTCTAATATAGGTATTTTGACACAATATCGGATTTTTCTGAAAAGACATGCCAATATTTTCCATATTTCGATTCTACGACACAAATTATGCCAAATTTTGTAAAAATCGCACGAGTAGTTTTAAAAACATAAGCTCTCATAATTTTAGCTCTTCAATGATAATTGAATTTGATACATATTTATCAATATCTCTTTTTTATTAAACTTAATTGATTCAATCTTCCAGAATTCGAAATTTAGGCTTAATCTAAATAAAATTCTCTCGTGTTTCTTAATTTATTTTTTAAATTTGTATTTTTTTTTTTTTTTTTTTAATTTTTCGAAAAGCATTTTGGCTTAAAACCTACAAAAGTTTTACCGTCATCTTAAATTAGATGTATTTCTAAGCATACCTACAAAACATTTTACATTCAAAATTCCCTGTGATATTTCCTATGAATTTATATATTGGCGCGTTTTGAGGTTTGGCATATTTGTTATAAGCAATAACAACGCCAAATGTGATTTACGCAATTTGTTAAAATTATTTAAAAGTGTGAGCGATGACTTTTCCCCTCTCGTTTATAATGAAAACAAGGAAAGGGAAAGAGGCTGCTATCAATTAAGAAGTTTGCCAAGTGAAATATTCTTGGCGCAAACTCAAAAATGTGCGCCAAGATAAATTTTTAAATTTCTCCCCATAAATAAAATAATTTTATATCTAGCCATAATTTGAGTCGTAGAATCGAAATATGGAAAAACATTGGTATTTTACTTCAGAAACAGCCGATTTTGTGTGAAAATTATTGTGTTAAAATTATTATAGTGAAAAATATTGGTGGGGCATTCGACAAGAAAAATTGGCAGTGGCTACGCTTTGCGTCAGTCAGTCCAATAAGAATTTGAAAAATAAGAAATTGAAGATTGTTCTTTGTTTTATTAGATAATAACCCGACACAAGTTACAGATATAGCACTAAAAAAATAGCTCAAACTAGAACCTCAAACTTGCGACAATCATCCCGACCCACGTTTCTGTTCGAAAGAGTATTCGCTTGTCAGAATTTCTAACGTTGCTTTGCATTGTTTACCTGTTTCCATATGAAGATGCGTGTCGTGTTCAATAATGTAATACCAGTTTCCCTTAACTTGGAAAATAACTCCAGTGCATGCTGTTCTGTAACAAGCAGGTATAAAATTAAAATACTCCCCTTTCCCTGAAAATGGAATAGGAAAAGCTGCTAACTTAAAAAAAAAGAGTCCTATTGGGGGGGGGGTTTGCATAAAACAAAAGCAATCGGAGTTACGTGCTACCAATTGATTGGAGTTACACAAAACCAATTAATTGGTTATTTTTTGAGTTATATAAAACCTAATGGGATTACTAAATGGAGTAACATAAAAACAAAGTAAGGAGTAGAATCTTAGGAGTGCATTGCGCTATCACATTTATGAATCATCCCCAGTAAATCACACTGTTTTGCAGCTGTCCTAATTTCTCAAATATGGTTGACGAGAAAGTACGCAAGTACTAGAAATAACTCAAAAGTCAATTTATAAGGTTTTTAATGAAGTAATATATTCATCGAGGAGATGTGATGTATAAAATGAGGTTTACAGATAGGGATTGTATTAATTGAGCAATGCAAATTAGTCATACATTAGCACTATTTAATTACATTTTTCTATTCAAATTCATTTTCAGAGTATCTATTATTTGCAAATAATAGTGAATAATTAATTACGATTGCTTTTTTGTTTCTATTTTGCCAACTTGATATATATATATATATATATATATATATATATATATATATCCTGTTTTTCTAGTTTTTAATGAAGCAGATGTGTTGCATTAACATTACAAGCTTCACTTTACTAAATTTATAATTTTTTTAATACTAAAATTTAATTAAAATTTCTCATTTTATTATATCAATATCTTTTATTTAATAAATGAAATTTGCAATGACAGTATGATATCTGAAGTGAAGATAGTTTTAAGAGCATTTTGCTCCTAATGGGCTTCGATTTCTGATGATTATTTTTTTATCTTCTGTAACAATTTTTTACTAAAACAACTTTATTCCATGTTTCTTAAAAAATGATTGAAATTACTCACTTTCGCATATTAATTCTTAATCTTTTCAGATCATAGGTAAAACTTTACCACCTTCGAAGTAACGCAGTGGAATCTGAATAGAGTTGAAGTACGAACGTGTTAAATCTTACTTCAAAACTGTTTGTCGCGTTCATTTTTGTTATAGTCTCTTACTTAATACTCAAGAACGTCATCTAAATATTTGCTACACATAAAAATCCATTATTTTGTATTTACGAAGTTATTAAACTAAATTTTTAAAATGAAAAGATACCTTCTCCTCTCCCATGGCATATTTCATCAGTCACAATTATGTATGCAAAAATTTTAAATTTTCTAGTCTAATTTATCACGCCTTTTGCTTCATACACTGCTAAATCTTACTACAATATTAAATGAAATAGCGATAATCCAAGCAAATTGTTCATACATAAACATTTGTAAAATTTTGATTGCATTTGAATTATGTAAGTGAATATTATGTATGTGATTTATGTATTTTATTTTACTTGGCTTTGTTATGCTGGTATATCAGAAAATATCTGAGTGTTAAAATATGGCCAGTCTTAGAAAATGGAAATATTAAAGTAAGTAAATTAAAGTAACTTAATAAGTTTATTTTAATATTTTAACGTATGCATAGAATGCATTTCAGTTGTAAGGAGTAAACTAATGATAATCACTAATATCTTCGTAAGTGTTAACGATATTCATTATGATTCTCATCAACTAAAAAAGTACTTTCTTAAATATTCTGTATTATATTTTTTAATATTTTACTTAACTAACACCTAAAGTATATAATCTACGTTTCAGTATACTGCACAGTATATCTTACTACGATAAGATTTTGCGCTACTATGATACGATTTTGCTACGTGCGATTTTGAGCATTGACGCCAAAAATACCAGATCCCGTGTACGGTATTGTAGGATTAAACCAAATAATTTTCTTTCATGTTTACAATGAATTCAATGAAATCAAAACCTGATAAATAAATTTATGTAGTACAATAAAATGCAACATACATGGTAGCTTTTATTTCCTCGAACATTTTTTTTTATGCTGGCAGTTAATTTACTTTAATTGGACCTTCCAGAGTCTTATGAGAACAGCAGTTTGCAAATAGACAGTTTTGGTTGATATGCCGATAAACATTATTGTCTCTGAGGTTACTGAGAGGTTAATCATTTGATCAAATTCATAGACGAAAATACGGATTAGAAATTAACGCTCTGTAATAAATAAGAAGCAGTTTTAAATTTAAGCTCCAAACGAGATGAAATATAATAAAGTTGTTCATTTGGCTTAATTTTGACTTGTGAATACGACTTTATCTATGTATACCCTACATTAAATATTCCTGTAAGTAATTCCACATTCTGAGATTACTTTTCATTCGCATAGTTAACCTGACGATTCATCTGATATAGCGCTTTATTATTCAGGCTGCATAATCAATTATATGACTTTTGTTTGGAACATAGCCATGTAAAATGAAATACATAAATCTTAGTTCTCAAAACAATTTGAAGAAATATAAAAAAACTAAAAATATTCCTCTTTAATTTCTTAGATGGCGCACCAACGAAATGATCTCACATGAAAGCAATTATAGTCCTCTTCATGTTCATGCTCAGACGTTTGTTACCGATGGCCAAGAATTATCAGATGCTGAATGTGACAGAGATCTAAGACATATGTCAGAAAATGGTATTTTTCTTTTTTTCTTTTTTGATGCCTTATTAATTTGTGTAATATTTCTGACTAATGTACTCATTTTTAAATCTGCATATATTTTTCTTAATTTAAAATAAATACATTTTATACACAGTTGCGTAAAGAGAAAGCAGGATTTTGAAATAAGCAAAATTCTTTCTACCATTCATAAGTAGGTCAGAAGTATTACTTTTATTAACCCTGAACTTGAGCCATCGTCTTTTGCATCCTCAGACAGATCTTTACTAATAACAATTCCTTTGCTATTGTTCTGCGTCTTTTTAATCGCCAGTTTAGTATTTCGCGGGAAAGGGCGAGCCATAACCGTAACATAGTAAGTACTACAATAAGTTGAATCGTTTCGTCAACTGGATCAGCTACGAGGAGTAAGTCAGAGCGTTTTCGTTCTTTACGGATTCTAGAAAGCTTTGACATGTAAAAGTTGGTTCTGTTTCGAGTTCTCGACACTCCACCAAGCGTTGTACATAAACTTTGCGCCTGTCTGGTCGCACGCCGCAGCGCGACTTTTACGAAGAACTGAAATTCCATGTACAAGAAGCTATAATTTTTAAAAGGTGCTTCCGGCTGATATTGTTGCACGATGTGAAAGCAGCTATGTAGAACGCTGAAAGAGTATTTTAAAGTTGCCATTCTAAAAGGAATTGCAGCTGTTCCAAAAACAAATGTTAGTAAGTATATATATATATATGTACAGGGTGTGTCAGTACAGCGTTGACAATCAGGAGCGATAGTACACCTAGACGATGGGAAATCACATAGCAATGCATTGTCGGAAACGTTTTCGTGGCACGGCTAGTGACGACACAAAACTCAAGAAAAGAAGGACTCAAACAGTGAGATAAAATGTGTTTCATTATGTTTAGTATAGCAGAAACCAACAAATAAGAACAAAAACAAAAAACGATCGTCATTAAGAAAGGTGTTCAAAATTACGACCCCGGATCGTGAAGCAAGCCTCACTTCTCCGGCGCATGGAAGATCTGCATCACGAATGGAAGATCGCATGGAAGATGCATGACGCACGGTTTCTGCATCACGGTACGGGTCGTAATTTCGAACACTTTCTTTGATGACAATCGTTGTCTTTTTTGTTTTGTTTTTCTGTACTGCGAAAAATAAACATGTTTCTCACCCTGTTTGTGTCCGTTCTTTCTTCATTTATGTATCGTCACTAACACACCAGAAAAGTCGTCACTAACGCGCCAGAAAAGGTTTTCCAACCATGCATTTCTATGTGATTTTCTATTGTCTAGGTATAATCTATCTCTCCTGAAAGTTTGTCAATGCTGTACTGATACACCCTGTATATATATATGTAAGATATAGCAAAATACGATAGCTGCTTTAAATATAATTGGCGACCTCAAAATTAACATTCTAGATTTGATGGTCTCCCAATAAATTCAATTGTTCTCCCAAATTCGAGAATATTCTATATTATATAACAACGTCAAATTGACACATCACAGAGTAGCTCTACTTATGCCTGCTATTATAAGTATCCTGCCGACTTTTAAGCTATTATAATTTCAAAGCACAGTCACGATGGCTGGAACTCTTAGCAGCTTTCGATAACAGTCATGGCTGAGCAGACAGTAATAGTTGAAGGTAAATCTATGATGACGCAGTTAACACAATTAAGCTTGAAGAATTTATAGTCTTTATTTCCATGAATATAAAATCATCTCAGAAGATATTTATCCAACCATAATGAAATCCGATACATTTCTATAATTCAGTCATAATGACATATGATAAGGAGGATATATAAGATATAGCAAAATACGACAGCTGCTTTACAAATAATTGGCGACCTCAAAAATAACATCCTAGATTTGGTGATCTTCCCCTAAATTCCTCTGTTCTTCCAAACTCGAGAATATTCTATGTTATGTAACAACGTCAAATTAACCAAGCACAGACTAGCTCTACTTATACCTCAGATTTTTTATAAATAACATGGCGAGTTAATTTCGTCATTCTTCCTTCCCCTAACTGCTGCTCTGCCAACATTGCGCCGCTTTACCTTTGCTGAACTGCCTTCGTCATTCCTTTTGAAAAGCTAATGTACACAAAAATTTATCATATTTTATGACGATTGAATCATAGAAATGTATCAGATTTTATTATGATTGGATGAATATCTACTAAGATGATTTTTTATGCGTGGAAATAAAGACTGGAAGTTCTTCAAGCTCAAGTGTGTTAACTGCACCATCATAGATTTTACCTTCAACCATTACCGTCTGCTCGGCCATGACTATAATAGAAAGCTGTTAAGAGTTCCAGTCATCGCGACTGTGCTTCGAAATTAGGAAATATATGTATGTATCAAAGATGCAACCATTGCATATTGTTTTAGTGTTAATAAATATTGTTTACATTGAAGTAAGTGAAATTTCTATTTGAAATCTTTTCATTTTAATTACATACTTAATATTCATATGTATAAAATAAGAACTATTCTCTAAATCATGCACGAATTTACTTTGTAACAGAATTAATCATTTAATTCTCAGATTTAAGAGTTTTATTGCAGCCCTTTTACACAGATGGGCTTTCATTTATGCAATAAACGCACTATAAAGTAATGTGAAACATGTAATGCAAGATGTAAAAGATGTAATTTAAAAAATATAAATTTCAAACCATAATCTTAATAGGATGTGACTTTTAACAGTATTTCCTTTCCCCATATGAATATATTAGTAAAACAGTGTTATATGAAATAGATTTTTAAGTATATCAAAGAAATATCTTAGAAGTATCGCTAAAAATCACAATATTTTTGCTGTGAAAATTCACAGTGAAGTGGCTCCAAATCGTATAACAATCTATTTTTACGTGTGGTTAAGTTTCGAGAAGCTTAGAACAGATTTCAGACATTTTCGAATTATCGAGAACGAGCGAGAAGTTTCTCAAATATGCAAGGATTTCTCCAAGGATTGGCCAATCATAGGCTGCTATAGGTTAGTCTGCTAGAATTCAACTTGAGAAATTTACGACTTCAAAAAGTATTTTCTAAATTGCTTATTTTGATTCTACTTTTTGTTTATTTAATTTCGTTCAGTTCATACTTATTTTAATTTCTTGGAACAGTCAAGGAGCTCCTGGAAAGTACATGTGGAGCCCTTAGTAAAGGGACGGAGTTTTTTCGAGAAGCATAATGTGTGAAACCATTGATTAAAAGAAATGAAAAGGTTAGAAATGGATAAGTTTAATTGAGGCTAGAAAGATACAGAAAGGCTGGCAGAATACTGAAAGTTTCGCACCGAGTTTTCTTTCCTGCCACTAGAAGAAAAAAGTTGTGTTTTGATGCTTGTTTATTTTCTACGTGCAACAAAAATTTAACCTCTTTCCTTTAGAGATATTTTCACAAAGATTCAATTCATAGACTTTTAGTGCTGCCATATTTCTTATATATTTCTTATAATAATTTACTTATTTATCTCAGAAAATTCTCTTAAGTGGGCAGTGTGTGTATTTCAGGAAATCTGTTTCAATTTGTTTTGAAAAATGCCCATTAACTTATCGTTTAATGCAAAGCATAATTTTTAATATTAAAACCAACAAGAGTGAAATATTGTTGTTCTTAGTGATAGGTATCTCCTTTTGCTGCTCCTTTTCTCTGGTATCTCTAAGAAGACAAAAATCCAAATTTAAACTAGCAATTCAGAACGGTTATAACCCCCTCAGCGAGTAAAGTACAAAAAAAAAAAATTATGAGACTGGCAAGACTTGTTATTCGGAATTAGGAAAATCTAGAAAGGTGCCGCTCATCCTATTCGAAAAGACAATTCTGATAAAGATTGAAAACAGATGTGTATTCTTTTCCAAATGCTGACACGGCTCAATTGAAATATGAGCGAGGTCCGATTTCACCAGTGCGTTGTGAAGGAAATAGGCTTGGAAGAGCTATACTTAATAAGAAGCTAGAACCTGCATGTTTTTTTGACGATGTTCAGTTTCATCAAAGCCAAAAATAAGTGAACATTTTTCGCTAAAACTCAGAGGATTAAATGGAATGGTTTAGATGTGACAGCGTTGTAAATATTGTGGACTTACCAAAAGACCGTTAAACACTGTTGATTGTAGCTTTGTTTAAACCTTGGCAAATGGATTGCAAATTTCATAATTTTATGAATGTATAATATGATTAGGAACCAATCTCTCTTAGAATGCCATTCACGAAATCAGCAATCTTTTTAATCCCTTCGCGACGGTATGTTGCTTAACTGCTGCAGACGGGTGTCTCATATATGCATCAGTCCCAAATGTAGCTAGCAGCCGGGTGATACACTGGCTGCGTTGCATTGTTGCAAAACACCGTCGCCAAGATAAGTTGCGCTAATTTCCATATAGGACAACAACGTCGTAACGACGTTGCAAACTCGTCACGGATATCGTTTCAAAACGATATCCGTTACGTTGCAATATGTCGTCTTTAAAACGCCCAGATGTCCGCGAACATCCACTGTTTTGCAACCGTTGCAAAGACGTCTTTATTACGTCTTTGCAGATGAGGTTTTTATCGCATAGACGTCGTTATTGCGTCTTTCGCGGGTGATATTTTGGTTGTGAAAGCCTCGTATCACGACGTTTTAAAGACGCCTAAATGTTTGCCAAATTCCACCTTTTTGCAACAGTTGTGAAAATGTCGTTATTATGTCCTTGTGTTACATACTGATTTATGCAGAAAAATAAGCTTAATAATTATTATATTCTTTTTTACTTTAAACTATATTTTTTAAATAACGTAAATTATAAGTTACGATTATTTAAGATTTCATTATTTTTTTCCTTAATTGCGAGTAATTATGAAAGTGGTTATTTTAAATATATATCATTAATATTAAGTTTTAAGTAAATAAACTCAATTAAACATAAATAAAAGTAAAGATATATATGTGGGTAAAGAAATGAGTGTTTCTGATTATAACAACATTATCACATTTATTTCTGTTAAATCTCAG